GACACGGGGAGAACATGCAACTCTGCACAGAAGGGCTCCCCCACCCTGGGTTCAAACCTGGAACCCTCTTGCTGTGACGTGACAATGCTAACCAATACCCGCTTTTGATATCAGTGAGTTATAAATTCATTTGGACTGAAGCCTTTTGACCTAAAAAAAACATGATACCTTCCCCCAAAGATTAAAAAGTATGTAACTTAAAACACGTGTTGCGATTTAATTAATTTCTTCACCTCATATGATCCACTTTGTTTGAACCAATCCGACAGCACCCTGCCAAATTGCAAGAGAGAATCATAAAGAACTAACGTTACGTTGAGTGAGTGCCATTTGACAAAAAAAATTAAACCAACGATAATTTTCGTAAGTGTAAAAAAACTATGGCAGGTCAACAAGAAACAAATTGCAGGATACAAAACGTGCAGGTGGAAAATTCCATAAGTAGAAGCAACTTTGTTTTAACAAATAAATAAATCATTCATTGTTTTTGTAAGTTTAATATTACTCCTGTGTTATACTGGCATTACATTTGCTGGAAGCTCATTATGACTTGTCTAAGGACGCATTCACACTGGCGCTATTTGGTCCGCTTTAAACGCACCCTGGTCCACTTTCACGGATAGTTCGTTTGGAGTGGTGTGAATGCTCATTCGAACTCTGGTCCACTTGAAAACTGGGAGTCTCAGTTCACTTATAAGTGAACCCTGGTGCGGTTCGCTTATAATGGGAAATGCAAACGGACTATCCAGCGAACCAAAGACAGGAAGTGAACCAAAAAGAGGAAGTGACGTAGAGTGCAGTGTATTTTGGGTAGAAAAAAAACAAAGCCAACATCGCGGACCAGGAGAAGCAGAGGTAAAAAAAAAAAGAGAAAAAGTTGGAAAATGTCTTGTGGGCAGATGTGGAGTAGTGAGGAGGTGCAGGTGCTTACTGATATATCAGAGGTCAGAGGTCAGAGGACTATACTGTATATTGCAGTTGCTGGCTGCACCCTGAAGGGGATGGATTTCCGTTTTTGGTCCTGGCCAATCGATGAGCCGGGTTTCTTCTTCCTCATACTTTTTTTCTTTCTGGTCAGTGGTCTTTTCAGGCAATATTGCCCCCAAACGAGCAGCTGCGTGATGTCCAGGCAGTTTGGTCCACTTTAAAAAGTGCAGTGTGAAAGTGAACCGAACCAAATGAAGTTGTGAAATTTTTTGGCATACCCTGCCCAATCGAACCAAGTCCCTGGACTATCCTGGTGTGAATGCACCCTAAGACATGAAACTCAAAGTTTAGGACTCAACTCTGGACTTGCCTGTCTTGATTTGGGACTTGAGTGCAAAGACTTGTGACATGCAAAACACTGACTTTGAATCTAATGTTGTATTCATATAAATACTGATGGCTACAGAGCATAATCAAATCAGTTTATGACGGGTGGAATACTTGTTGTACAAACTGAAACTCGTCAGGGTTTCTGAGCTGCAGAGAGCTGCTCCTGGAGCAACGCCCTCTGACTCTGTACTCTTACATATAGTTTATTGTGCAGTGAAGCACAAAGGTGATGCTGAGTATCAGCCGGTGTCTCGTGACCCTTCTGACACACTGAACCACTGATGATATAATTATTAGCAATTCAAACAGAATCATACAGTAGTATTCTGATAATTTACAGTATTGTGTCAGCATGAAGTATTTTGACATTTTTGGGGTGAAAGGATTTCATTATCTTATCTTTACTTTTTATTACTTTAATATTTAATTCTATCCAGCAAAACACACATTGGTTATAGAGCGTCTTTTATGGTATAACAAGACAAAAATAAAATACAAATGCTATGTAATCCTCTGCTGTATTGTTAATTCACTAACACCTAAAATCATGTGTACTTGCCCTGGTAGAGACTGATATGTGACAGTTTATGTTGTATTTGCATCTTCACTACAAAATGTGCTCTCCCACCTCACCTTTGCTTAATGTTAAAAAAAACACAATCTTTCAGGAGAATAGTGACTCGAACTAAACCCACAGATGCCTCTTTATTATACAAACATTCAGAGGCTTCCCTTTCAGCCCAGAGCTGTGTCTGCAGGCGCTCCCTTTGGGCTCCTCACGGCACACTGAATGTAGCCTGAGAGGCAAAGCCCGGGGCAAAATGCAAGATCTCAAGCAAGACTGACTGAAGCAGCTGAGTGCAACATTTAGAGCATACAGTAACTATGATTCTGAGTCTGGGGCGGGATTGTCTACACCTGGTTCTCAACATGGAGGTGGCGGCAGCTAACTAACTATTCTGAATTTGATACAGGTCATGTAAACAGCATATTACGTTTGGATATTTCAAAGTAGGCCTTTTTCCAAATTCAGCATTTTCCCATTTGCATTTTAATCTCATTGTTTGGACGTGTACATGGCACATTTGTCATATGCAACTCAACTGGGGGTTTTACTGCAGTCTGCGACACACAGTCTGTTTACAGTCAGCTCTCATGCTGTACACAAATCAACTCGCAGCTGCAGTAACATTTCTGGTCGCAAGCAGAAACACCCCTACTTTTAAACATTATGAAAGACTAACCCTAACCCTACTAACACGTTGTAGATATGCGCAAGTATCCCAGCACCAACCTTTTCAATAAAGTGTTGAAGGAATGACAGACGGAGGCTGTGTTCACACAGTTAAACAAGTCCTCCGCTGGTGGAAAACTGACAAAATCCTATTCAGACACAAAGAAGCAAAATGACACAAGCAGCTCCAGCTGTTTTACTTTGCTATATTTTGATGTGTTGAGGGCACATTAATCAGAGTATGTATGTGAACAGGAATATCAGAATATTCCTCTTTATTAGTCATGTAAACAGCACAGTAGGAATATTGTCTTCTTCAGAATAAGGGAAATAACCAGAATGTTTTGTCCATGTAAATGTAGTGATTGTTAACCAGGAGGGGATTTAAGGCTGGGCGTGAAGCTTCCCTGACAACGCCGTCCCACCACCGTGGGTTAGGATGGCGTTATCAGCAGTAACCGCCGTATGAGCGCAGTGCAGAGCGACAGAGATTACAAATATTGCAACTCTCAGGGTGTTGGCCAGTCATCATTGTCTCACCTGCAGCTGGTGCAGAACGCTGCAGCGAGACTCCTCACTGGTGCCAGAAAGAGAGACAGCATTACACCAGTGCTGGCGTCCCTGCACTGGCTACCTGTCAAATGCAGGAGTAATTTTAAAGTTCTTTTGTGTTTTCAAAGCCATACATGAGCTGTCACCCTAGTATACTACTGAACTCCTCTGCCCCTACTCCAGCTCCTGACCTCTTAGATCCTCAGAACATTGTCTGTAACTGTCGAGGCTGGTAGGTGAGGGGACATCGTACCTTTGTGGTCACTGCACCAAAGCTCTGGACAGCCTTCATATCTCAACCAAATGCTCCCCCTCCACTGACACCTTTCCATCAAATCTGAAAATGTACATGTTTTCAGTGGCATTTATTTTAGTATTTTATAATCCTTCTACGTATGTAATTGTTCATACTGGTGTTATTCTGTTTTATATTTGTGTACATGTTTCATTGCTTTATACCTGCATGTCATTCTTTTAATTTGTACAGCACTTTGGTCAACTGTGGTTGTTTTTAAATGTGCTCTATAAATAAACTTGATTTGATTTTGATTCCATTTGAAATATACACCATTATCCACATACGGCCAGACTGGTTAACACAATAAGGAATGAAGAAGCTCAGATTACAACACAAACACAAAGAGGGAGCGTGACGTCACTCTCTGCTCAGGACGCCAGTACTTCAGATAGTTGTTTGCTGCTGTATTAATGCTCCGAATATCACCTACAGTGACTTTAAAGTGACTGCTGTGAGTGTGCTGTAATACTTTAAGGTAGTTTAAAAGAGCATCAATATTTTAAACCTGCCTGTCACATCTGGACTATGACGACTGGACAGTCGGAGGACGATATTCAAAAAGATTTTGTGAGTAAAATAAATTAAAACTGTCAAAGTGAGATGGACACATTTCTGAAATTCCCTGTGAGTAATTACGCTTTTGTTTAAAACTAATTAAAGAAGAACAGCTTTTTTTTGATGAAGTTAAATGTCATATATGTCCAGCATAAGAGTTTATGTGCCTGATGTCTGTGTTAGGAAACACAGCAGTTACCATTGTTGGTCTGTCTGTCTTCTTGTCTCTCCACTGGATGGAGCTGCTGTGATGCTGTCAGGACTGAGCAGGTTCCCACATCTACCAGCAGATGGGGTCAGATAAATGTCAGATGGTTTGTCCTCATGTCATAGTTTGAAGCAGAACATCACCCATCAGTGTGTCTCAGTGTTTGGTTTAACAGAATAAACACAGTATTTGAATAATACAGAATATAAGCTCTCAAATAGTTTACTAAAATTCAACAATATATAGTATTCTGTCTGCATAATGAGTCTTTAAATGTATTTTGATGCCAGTACTTTCTGCTGTGTACCCTTGTGTATGATCATACACTAAAAATAGCAAAGTCTGCGGTCACAAACTGGATGTGTGTTTGTGTGAAGCGGCTCAAAATGCTGCTGTTATCTGACGCAGCAGACTGCTGAGGTCGTGCATCAAGGTAACCTATTGCTGCTATTTATCTGATGTGAGTTGCTGCTCTCCAGCTCAGCTCCCACCTGGGTGCATCAGACAGTATGTTCACCAGCGCCGACACTTGGCTGACCTTGGCGATGATTGATAGGAAATACTGATTCATAAGTCCTCCACACATGCTGATGGGCAGCCATTCCTCACTCTTCTTATCACACAGCAGTGAGGAGGGGATGAAATATGAAGTGGAACGGTGCATTTTTACAGAGATGGGGAATTTTTCTGCACTTTTCTCGTGAAAAATGCAGATTTTTGTTTGATTCTTGCTGCTTTGAAATTAACAGTTGTGGTTTGTTTGTGATGCAAATTAAGCACAAAAATTTGGTGACTGATTAAAACGCAGGTCCAATAATTTACAACCAGAGGCACGCTGACAAGAGACACAAACGTTTATTGTACTGAATGAAAAGTATTTATCTTTTTCTATTCTTTTCAGCACTAACAGACATTTTGTTCTGTCTGACGCTCATGTGAAACTAAAAATTAATAGAGAAAATATTTGAATTTGAGACCTCATTTTTGATCAACTGGTGTCCAGTTGTTCCTCAGTATTGCAGCATGACCTGAAGAGAGAACATCACTTATTGATACATGACATTTTCATGTTAGTGACACTTGAGTGATGTACATGTCTGTATCTCTACAGCAAGACAGCAAGTCTGAGTAACTTACGTCACTGAGCCAATCCGTGAAGGCGGAGGTGCGAGTGAAGACGGTTGGCTTCTTCACTTCATTGCAGACACGAGAGGAAACAAAGCTGGTGACACCCTGGACGTACCAGCGACCATCCTGGCCCAAACAGTTGAGAGGACCGCCAGAGTCTCCCTGAGAGAGGAACAGGAGCACAGTGTAAAGGATCTGTCCTTGTTCACAGCAGGTAGTTCAGCTCTGACGGGTACAAGTTGCCTTTCTTTTGCCTCACGCACATTGCATCCAGACACGACGTCTCCTCCTGCACAGACCATGGTGCTCTTGACGTTGATGCCCCACCAGTCGCTGCGGCTGCACACGCTGTGCTCCACCACAGGCAGCAAGGCCTGCTGCAGCTTATCAGGCATGGGGCCGTGTGCTGAGACACAGAGAGGACAAACAGAGCTGCTCAGACAGCAACGCATCAATAAATATACAAGGCAGAGAGCAGTGTTGGGCAACTAACTTCAGAAGTGTAATTACTCATAACACACTGTTCATTTAAAAGATAATTACATTATGAATAACTCCGCAGCAAAACTAATTAGTTGCATTACTGTCATGACTCAGCACGGCAACACGAGTGCCTTTAAACAACTCAAAGAACTCCACACATCAGGTAAAAACAAAAGACGACACATTGTGATTTAAACAAGCAGCTCTACAGTTCAGAGGGACTTATCATCCATCAACAGCTATCTTAACTTTGCCTCGATGACTGCACACAGCTCTTCACAAGTTCTGCCTAGGGCTGTGCAATATGAAGATATTATATCGTTATCGAGACACAAGATTATATATCGTTATGATATGGCATAAATGTTGTTTTTCCCCTTGTTTTAAAGGCTGCATTAAAGTAAAGTGATTTCAATTTATCAGCTTACCAGACTTTACTCTTAACCCACATAGTCGTCAAATCCACATTATTGATGATTATTGGTCAAAATCTCATTGTCTTAATATTTTTTGAATAAACAAAACAAAACAAAAGTCATCTGTTTAACTTTTTTGCATCAGTGAGGATATTTGGTCCGAAATATCGTTATCGATCGATAGTATCGATTCGGTCTTTCAAGCCAAGCATTAATTCAAGTGCTTTTGATGAAATTTAAATATATCATATATATTGTGTGTCGAGATATAGCTTAAAAATACTGTGATATAATTTTCAGGACATATTGCCCAGCCCTAGTCCTGACTTCAGCTCACACACATAAAGACAGCTGACTCCTGAATGTTCATGTTCCCATGGCTAACATTAGCGAGCTAAAACACACAGGTGACGTAAACAAATAGACCAGGCCTAGTTTTTGCTGCTTTAGCATTCATTCGAGCCACTGAGGTAATCGTTTCTTAATCAGAAGGTAGTTTAAATACACTGTTGCTCCCTAAAGATTTCCACATCCACCTGGATGTTAAAGAAACCGAAAACAAGAATGGCAGCTTGCCGGCTACCTGGATAGGAAAGAAAGTCGCAACTTTGGAAATTAACGGAAACATTTTGTTAGTCAGCCGACAGAATATCTTTTCACCCAAATGGTTCGAAGAGTATTTGAGGATTCTGAAAACCCCTTCAAGTCACTTTTATTTATACAGCACTAATTCACAACAAAAGTTATTGCGGGACACTTTCAATAAAGAACAGGTCACGACCACACTCTTTAATTTACAGAGACCCAACATTCTCCCATGAGCAAGCAAGAACAGCAGCAAGTGTCCAGAACGACCTTCTGGGTACTGAAAGAGACTGAGGGTTATCACTGTGGCCCAGATGCAAGTACACAAGAGACACAAACTGGAGCGAGTCCTGGACCAGTCTGTCCCTCAAACTCCCAGTCAGCAGTGGTAGAAAATAACTACCGGTAAGTGCGTTAACTCAAGGAAAAACCTGAGGTACTTTTACTTAAGTATGTCCATTTTATGCAAATTTATGCTTCTACTCTGCCACATCTCAGAGGCACTCAATTGCTCTACATATGGAGACAGACCACAGCTGTAGTTATAAGTTACATTCTGGTAGCACATCACTGCCAAACAAGGGCAGATAGTGCGAACTGTACAATTGCTAATGTCAACCACTGCTCACATTTTAATGTTTAAAATGAGTTCCGATCTGAACCTTGAGTGCCCATTAATGTTCTGTGCAAATGAAACTCTGCTGTGATGGGTGCAAAGTCAGGATGACAGGTGAGGACACAGTGACATTACTGTAAAGGTTGCCCCAGCCGGAGATGTAACACGGGGTCCCATGGGCGAGGATCTCTCCAGCCTCAGGAAGACAAGCCACGCCGACGCTGTCATTCATTATGGGGCTCTTATCCAGTTTCAGCAGGGCGAGATCGTTTCTGTGGGAAAATCATTATCAGAGTCAGATTTCACCTGGCGGATGAGGTGAGCAGACTTTATGAGCCTGCTAAGATCATTCATTCAGACTGTGTTTACGGTCTAATGTGATTTTTAAAATATTCCTTCAGCATATAGTAAACAGATTACCAAACTTTTTGGCATTTACTTTACATTGACGGGTCTTTGGTTCGAGATAATCAAACAGTATTATTTATGCTTATTGAGGATTCCACTGATACAAAAACATGGAAATTTTGCATTCAAATTTTAAGTCAAAATGAACTCACCCATCAGCCACAAAGTCAATGTCCCACTTGGGGTGGACGATGATGCGCAGAACATCTCTGATCTGCTCTGTGCCCTCCTGCTGGCTCATGTCGTGCTCTCCCAAGACCACACGGTACACATCTCCTGGCCTGCAAGACATTTACCTGTTATTTCCCTCTCTAGAATGCATTTGTGTCCTTTTGCACGTCGACAGTGTTTCTGTGTGCTTGCTTCAATAAACCCTTAACCTCCTGCTCTCATTTGAATCACACAGCAGCTATCTTTTCTCATTGTTAGTCACCAGATGCAGTGTCCGGCAGTCAGCACCCAGCGAGGTCCAATCAGAGTCCCTCCACAAGTGTGATGGTATCGGCTGCCGTGCTTCACCTGCAGGGAGATCTGAGAGGAAAACATAAATAATCAGAGTTTAATCCTAAATAACAGTATACTCATCATATCGGCACTTTTGCATGTAAATTTAAAACATCTGTGTGACAGTACCTGCCAAGGCCAGCTATGGGGGCGAGCATCCTCTCCATTCACCACCCTGTTGGTGTCAGGCTTGACAGCAGGCGTACCACATCCAAAAACTACAAACACATAATACTGGATTCTGTAACTGAAATAAATTTAGTCCTTTATTTCAATGTCTGACGTCTGTGTTTTGTAACAACTGCCATACTCACCATATGCCACCTGAAGCAGCAGGAGAGCCAGTGCTCGCATCATGATGTCAGTCTGTAGATACACACACGTACACACACACACACAGCTCTCTTATACCACCTCCGTCTGTCTGTCAGCCCAGGCACGGATTACATTAGACCTGTTGAACTTTGTTATCAGCATCCACTGCCGACTGTGGCTGGGAAAAACTTATTGTACCACAGATGCATCAGCTGGTCTGCCGGGACACTGATCTGACCACCTGCAGAAAAAAAGGAGATAACCAGCTGTACATGTGTTTACATACATGTGATGTGTCTGCACAGATAACTTCCCAGTACACCATCTTCCAACAGAGTCACAGATGTATTACTGAATGGGCCAACTGGGCACAGGCGTCATCTACAGGCAGTGGCTTTCAACTACAAAATGTCACTCATACTAACACGTAACGACCACGACAAGACTCAAAAAGACACAAAGAGACCACAGAGAGATGCAAAGTAACTGAAGAGACAAAACAAAGAAACAAATAAAACATAAAACTTGGAAGAAAAACATCTGAGTTTAATCTCTCATCTGTCTTCACTCAATAAAACTCCCGTGTTGTTGTGAAGTCTCAAATCAGTCGGATCAGCTGCAGTGTCAAATCAATAATTGATATCAAATAAGGATGTAAAAGATTTCAGTGAAGCCTGCTCTCGTGTGTCCTCGCTTATCTCTCCTCAGACCACACTGACCCTTCACTAAGCCCCGCCCCATTGTGATAGTTCTTCAAGCTGTCGGAGTAGACGTGGAGCCGACACTGTAACTAACTGCACTCCCTGAAGAAATATTATCATATTTTTGGAGAAATGAACCAGTGATTCCAGAGAGAAGCAGACAGAGGGGTCTACAGTCTGTGTTTGAAGGATATATCCAGGATGTCAAACTGACTCAGCAGCAACAACAGGTTAAAAAGACAAAGATAGTTAGAAGCTAAAGCCGAACTATAGGCTACAGATCACAGTGTAAAAGTGAACCACCACATCACTGCTGATCGCCACACAAGACAATGAATATAAAGGGAAACTTTGCTGATATTGAACCAGCTGTGTGGCATCACAGTGTGTGCAGATGAACCGTGTTTGGCTTCACCCCGTGCTGCTGCCAGCACCTGGACCTCAGCTGTCAGATGGGCAGGGGAAATCTAACAACGTTCATCTGCACACGCTGTGATGACACACAGCTGGTTGAATATCAGCAAAGTTTCCCTGCTTCCCTTCACTGGTTCCTGTACAGCAGGGTCGGTCTTTGTTTCACTGTTATGACCATTAAAAAGCAAAAGCAGCATGTGTATACATTCAGTAGGCTATATCTTCAGTAGCTAGCTAGCTAACCCTACACTTTCCAGGGTTTGATTTTGGTTTTGGAACAGGGAAGAAACGTATATCTTTTTCCAACCTCTCCAAGTAACAAGTATCATTAATACACGACGTGCCCCAGGCACAACATTTAGCTCCAAATCCACAAAACCTGCCTGAAAATGAAGCAAATCTGAAATGATGGAGCACAGCTGTGTTGGTGTCGGACCCTGGTCTGAGCTGGCCTGATGCTACGTTATGATTGGTCAGTCTGCATCCAGGGCTGGGACTTAGCAAAGGGTCAATTGGGACGTCTTTCAAGATGGCGGGTCTTAACTGATTTCCAGGTCAAGTGATCAAGGATAGAGGATAGAGGAGTCTAGGAGGGATACTGGGATGAACCATTTCTGCGTTTGGATCTGCGCTGGTTTGTACGTTTGTTTGATGGATGAGGGTCAGGAAGAGAAAAGCAGATGGGAACAAAGTGAAGGGGAAACACAAGGAAACTCTAGGGAAAACACATATATGACAATATAATGCCACAGTTGTATGTTTAGATATATTATGTCACTACTTTTTGTCACACAGTAACAGGAATGGAGGCAGCATCAAGTAGTTAGCATTAGTGAAGCAAAGAACAGGTCTTTATTAATGTAAACTGGAGGGAAGAAGCCCTCACATTACTGCTGATGTTACACAGGACATCCTGGGAAGTTTAGTGCAAACACAGCAGTGACAGCTTATCATTAAAATAACATCATCGAGACTTTGCATATAGCTGCATGAAAACCTGCAGTTAAACATAGAAACGCCTCCAGCTCGAACACTCAGGACAAACTGTTCTTATGGTAAAACTGTGGAGTTTGTGAAACTGAGAGTAGCTGAGGTAGCAACTCAGTGAGTGAAGAAGAAAACCAGGCAGAGAAACTGAGACAGGGGTTTAGTGTCGTCAGCTGTCTCGGCGCTCAGTGTACTGCGAGAAATAAATTTTCTTCCTGCGACCACAGAACCGGAGAGCTTTGGGTTACCTTCAAGAGAAACAGTCCTGTAACAACTTTCTCTCCTTTAATAACATGTTATACACTCACGAAGGGGCCCACGCTGCTGCTGAATCTGGACCCAATTCTTCACACCTCGCTCAGACAGTATCCTTTCCTCCTGAGGGAAACTAATATCACTCTCCGGAGGAGACGGCGTGCATCTATAAATTTCCCCCCTTTTAGGGAGCAAATCAAATCAATAGTGCCTCAACAGCTAAGAGGCTTTGCTTGTTTTCCCGCCGTTAAGATAATTCCCTACACCAGACGTTGCGGGAAGATTTATGAAGCAGACATGTACCGTGTGTTTGCATAACACAGCAGTGACAGAACTGTGAATAATTTGGATTAGGGCTGCAGCTCGCGATGAATGAACCACCGATGCTGTTTACAGGAGGTCAGTCAGGTGGGAATTGTGATTTATTAGTGTGTGTGAGACAATAAATTCAATAAAGTGAAACTGTGAAAACAAATCAATGACAATTTTAAATCATTCTGATGTTATAAGAGACGCTGTTGCTTAAAATGTAAATACTGGATTTTACAGCACTGCAACCTTGTTATTATTGTTATTAATATGATTTGAACCTTCAATCATAGAGATGTTAAAAGTGATTACAGAGACACATTCATACAGTAACATTAAATATCATAACTAAATAATCAAATTAATACGACAGATACATACTGAGTGTTTTACATCTTATATATGATTTATAGTTGCATTTTCACAAGACTGAAGCCATGCTAGCAGCTTCATGAGGCTGCAAGTAGGAATCAGTGACTGTATATAAAGACAACAAATTCTCATCCCGACTCATCAAACACAGACGCTTGGACAGTGGTACATGTCAAAATATATTGACCTTCACACAGGAAACAAAGAGAGGACTCCTCGAGGAAAGTCCAGAGTTGCCCTATTTGGAATTTCTCGCTCTGAATTCTACTGTAGTCACCTGCAGCATCAGAAACAGCTGTGTGCTCTGTGCACCTCTGTGCGTTGGTGTCTGCCGACAAGCATCGGTATTTAACGAGTTGGGAGTGAGAACTGGCTGTTAAAGATGGACAACACACTTCCATGTCCTTCTGCTAAGTGTATTGCTGCCACACCGGGAAAAAAATAATGGATCAGTATTACGTTATAACGTGAAAAGTTTATTCATGTTGTAACATGAAACTTTAATGTTATAACTTGAAAATATACTGTTATAACGTGAAAAACTTGTTAGAACAATAAACTTTTTATGTTATAATGTAATACTGATCCATTATTTTTTTCCTGATGTGGCAGCAATATGCTGTATTCAGCTGTACAAAAACAAGGCCAAAATATCCCGGATACGGCTGCCGCCATATTATGCCAGTGATGTCATTTTGAGTCTGTGCAGTAGTGATCTCTGCGATACTGAGTTCACGCCATCTGACCAATCACATGCAGCATCATTGATTGCAAGCACACTAACTGACCCACACAGCTGTCCACTATGACATCAAACCCCCTTTTTAATAGCATCCGATAAATAATTAAAACCAAACTTGGTCCATGTCCCACCTGCTAACACAGAGGGGGTGGGGTTTATTAGCTATACTGCAGCCAGCCACCAGGGGGCAATCAAGATGTTCTGGCTTCACTTTTGGGGAGCTGTTCATAGGGCTTCATGTTCTCAGCAATGTCTTTTTTTAAATTTTATTTTTTAGGTCAAATGTTCAATATTAAGTTCAGCACATTTGCCTGGGTCAACATGTTAGAATCACTAAACAACAGCATAGCCTACTGATGTTACGCCGATAACACACCAAGCAGCGTTGAAGCACAGCCTTTAGTGAGCTGCCATGAAATGTCTATGGAAGGCCTCGGTGGTCACTCTAAGTGCAGCCAAATTAAGTTGGAGGCAGTTTAACTTTTAGCGGCAAATCGCGGCCAGAATATACCCCCAGAGTCCTGTGACTCCTGACACACGCTGATCTATGTTACAAAGAGTTTCTTCCTGCCTGAGATACATGAACGCGCCTCCTGGCTACAGACAGATGTAATTATTTTGGCCAGCTGCAGTTCGTCGCTGCTTGGTGTCTGAAACCTCGGCCCTCAAAACTGTGGGCGAGACAGTTTTCTTGACTTTAGACATATCCACAGTCGCTGAATAGGTTTGTACCATTCAGACAGCATTTAAAACAACCACATCCCTTTGTACCTTGCAATTTGATCTCCAAACATAATCCCCAACAATCTCTGACAACATAAGTTATATCAAGAGACATGTGACCCTGAGAGCATAGGGATGCCCCCTGTGTTTCCATGTTCGTGTGTTGCTAATGCTTAAAGTACTGATAAAAAATTGATGCATGCACTGTGATTAGTTTTGCAGGTATTTGGTCATAAACCAAAGTTACAATCCATCTGTACCATCGTTTATTTGTTGAGACATTTAAGACCGATCAGCATCATCATCGGCAGAGCCACAGCAGTATAACATGGATAAAAATAAGCCCAGTCAATGTCTACTTTATCAAAAATGTCCCGGGGAAATGGTTTCTGTATCATATTACAGTACATAACGTTTTATAGCATAATATATTTAGATTTTATGATAAAATGGCTGAACAAAATACAGTTTGGTGTTAAGTTATATGAGCTGTTCCTAAACTGCCTTCATGTATAACCCTTTTATTGTTTTTTCTTTTCTCTGTAAAAATGTTTCCATCAAGACATTGTTCTGCTGAACTCCGTAAATCGATATTTCCAAAGAGTAATGCA